CTTACCACCACCTCATGCCCAAAGGAAAATGGTCCTCTGATCACTCTCTGGGTTTTAAGGTCCAAAATCCAAGGCATGCTGATCTGGTCACGTTCTGGAGACCCTCACCTTCCACTCACTTAGAGAAGTGCTCATCCCTTTGCAGGTTCAAGTCATTATCCACAGGAAAGGAAATGGAAGAAGAACGATGACTCGAGAATAGAGGTAGGAGGACATTTTCAGCTATATGGCTGATCCCATATAATTTCCTTGAGCTTCTGTAGCCTCTTCCACCCAATGTTCTCAAACACTTTAACACACATCAATGAATTAAGTCACATAACGTCCCTCTGAGGCAGGGATTATCAGCCCTGTTTTATAGATGGAGGAAACAGCTCAAACACAGCAAGGAGAGATGAACTGCTTTGTTCAATGTCACTCAGCTAGCCAGTCGAAGAGATGGGAATAGAATTCAAGTTTTCTGAGCCCAGGCCTGTGCCTTAACCATTAGCCCACGTCTCCCACGCAAAATGCGTCTACAAAGATGCCGACTCGCAGCTGCCAACTATTTTAGGAGTGACATCGTCAGTGCAGAAGAGGGCATTCATCCTCATGGAAGAGGAGGGAGTTCGACTGAAATTCAAGTTGAGTGTAACTAAAATGAACTGTCTAGTCTCAGTGTATGGCTTATAGATTGTGATCTCTTTGAGGTGGGGATCATCATGTTTTTGCACGTGTGTTCCATTTAGTGCCTGGCATAATGGGGCTCTGGCCTGACGAAGGACTCTGGGAACTATTGTGATCTAAATGTTAATCAATCATAATAAAATATACCCATAGTGTGAGTACAGATCGGGCATCCTTACAGAGCTGGATTAATGGGGGGGGCTAGCCGGGCAGCTGCCCAGGACACCAACTTACGGGGGGCGCCTGATTGAAGTGGTAAGGGGGATCCGTGCATGCACTGTGCCTCAGGGCGGTGCTGAGCATGCGCCGCTCGCCCGCTGCCCAGGGCACAACTATGGCTCGGTCCAGCACTGCATCCATAATTCCAATGCAGCGATGCTTGCAGAGTGGTTTTCATTGAATAACAAACAATAAGCTCAAATGGGACAATAGGGTGATGGAAGGGCAGGTATGATTTTAAAGTGTGATTCTGCTCTGAAAGGTGACCGGGTAACAGGCACAGTCTGACAGAGACACTGCATCAAATGCGCTTAGCCTACACGAAAAGGGAGGATTATTCTAGCTGCTCTGCACTGTAAATTAAACCTGACATCTAAGACGCGGGCTGAGTTTTTTCCTTACAGTGCATCATCACCAGTAGCAAAAGCTCTACAGGCCAAAGCAAGCTCTGGGACATCAGTGCAGCTACCACTGTCTTCATAGTATACTCTCAATGACAAGTGTAAAACCCCATAGTCTTCAATAGGTTTGATCAGGAGCAACCATCTGGAAACTTAGCAGACAATTCTGTGGATGCTCCACAAAAAGTAACAGAATTGGGCTCACTCTCTCGTAGCCATGTTTTAGTTGTGGAGGTCTAATAAGAGTAAAAAGTAGTCCCAATTGACTTCTGTCTCTCAGGTCAGTAGATCTGACTCTGAGCACATGCAGAGAGCAGATCGGTTGAGTACGATGGAGGTGCCACCTTTACAGAACAGAACTGAACTTTTAAGGCTTCAAAAACTCTAATTTCAGAAACTTTGAACCACCATGCACAGTTCGATACAGTCACGTAGTTGTCTCTGCTTTGGCAAGAGAGAGAGCCAAAATTGTCACTCACACCAGGTTAGGGAGAGGTCACCTGCATAAAACAGCACAAAGGTGCTGGATGGTGCTTAAAGTCTCCATGTGGTTTCCAAAACGGCTTGTTCTTTCTGTCACACAAACGCAAATGTTCAGTCCAAGGTCTGGGAGTGGGGGAGAAGTGTACCTTCAATTAAAATACATTTCCCAAAACATTAAATGGCAGATATGTAACAAAACAGTGTGACATTCATACTTTTTGCTGCTATGCCTCCAAACCATTTTACAGCAACCTGTCAGATCTGATCAGACTTGTTTATTCTGCATATAAATGTAGGACTTGAGGGCATCTTGTTTCAGAAACGACAGAAAAAAACACATATTGTCCTGGCAGTTGCTTGGGTTTTACAACAATGGCAATGGGTTGTTAACTCTTCATTCAAATCAAAGTGATTTTCACTGCTCTGGTAAGATACAAAGTAGGAACAATTTTGCTTGTTGCACTGGCATGGATGGCAACTCAATTAAGATGGAAAATAAAAAAACAAAAAACAAACATGCCATGAAAGAAACAAACCAAGTTATTTATAAATGCATATTGGAAACTTCACGTAAGCTAATGATAATGGATTAGAAGGCAGTGTCCCTTCTGGCTACAGTTTACAAATTCTTATCTGCTTAAGGTTGCTCTAGAAAGATTTCCAGCTGACCGCATTATTCTTAAAGATAAATCATTCCTGGCAGTTTACAATTGCATACCAACTACTACAGCATTGTGTATGCCTTCATGTTTGCCTTGATCGGGGATGATGGGCCATTCTTTAAAGTTCAATGGCCCCTCCTTGCCAGTCTAATTTTAAACACAGCACTTGTCTGCCCTGAATTTCTGATCAACTCAGTCCATGATAAGACTGTAAACATTCTTGGACATCCTCTTGCACACCCATTCAAAAAGCCCAGATAATAGCCCTCAAATTGTCAATGAGGGAAAAGGAGAAAAATCTAAGCTCACAGGGAGGTATCAGAAAATCCTATTTAATTACTGTAACTATCACCATCAATAATCCTTTATACTTCCATAGTGTCCCCATTTTATAGACTGAAAGCACATTCTACAGCACAATCCCGGTGGGGAAGCAGCAACAAGTTTTAATAATTAGAGACATTAAGATAATGGCTATGGAAAACACACCCTCCTTCCAGCATCCCTTCTGGATGGGTCTCTGACATACTCCCTCAACTTCATTTAGCACCTTGGGATGTGAAAATATGGGCACCCAGGAGGTAATTAATGAATCTGTCTCATACATATTGTTTTCTGTTGTTCAAGAGGCTAAAAGGAAACTCCCTTCTGATATAAATGAAAAATTCTGCCCTGACCTATGCCCTCTCAGGGTTTAGCTTGAGGGAAAAGACAGAGAATTAAAACCTCTAACCCCAAATCCTGACCATTTGAGTCATGTAAGTCATCCCATTGGATGTGGCCCTAGGAGCGCACTTATATATCCAGAAATGGGATTTTAACATGATGCCAGGGGGAGGGGGCTGAGGAGGGAGAATAATCCTGGCTCAAACTGGAACAGAAGCACCAAATATCCTCCTGTCGTTCCCCAGAATGAGGTGATGGTCCATCCCCTTCCCCCAAAATTACATTTCTGGGTTAACCACAAAGACAACATGCACCTCATACATGCTGCTCTGCACTTTCTGTAAGCCATTCCTTGGGTATTATCCCCACTGTGGAGACTTAAAAAGACACAGAGAAGGCCATCCCTGTCTGAATGAAGGGAGGGTATGTGGGGGCGTGATGATGTAAATGGCCATTTGGGCCTGAATTGCTGGAATATCAATCCTATGCCGTTAGTCACTGGGGTGAGAAAGCTGATTGCCTTGAGTGTCCAACCTTCTGGGAAGTTCAGAAGCACCCAGGTGGGTCTCAGCTATGAATGCCCCACCCCACTTCTGCTTCCTGGACCAAAGCGGTGGGGGAGAGTTTGTCAGATAGGTGCACACTGAGACAAGCATGGGGGCAAGCCTACCCCCTGAGCTTCTCACTCCAAAGGCCAGTAGCCAGACACTAACACTCAATGCTCCACTGCCAGCCCCTACCCGCCAGGGACAGCCCCCCAACCCCACAGAACGGGGACCCCCTTACCTTTGAGGTGCTGGTGGTGGACCCTGTGGAACCTGCTCTGGTTGCCTCGGGGCAGGGCAGGGATGCTGGAGAAGCTGTTGCCCATGGCATCCAAGGCAGCGGAGCGCAAGCCAGCAGCTGGACGGCGCGGGCTGGGGGGCAGCTGCTGCCTCTCGGGGACCGTGCAGCCGGGTGGGTGGCGGGACCGGCCGCTCGGCGCTTTCTCTCGGCGGCTGCTTCCCCCTTCCCCGGCTGTCACTTTGGAGCCGAAATCCCCTTTTGTCTCCTCTTCCTCCTCCTCATC